TATATCTGTTATAGTTTAAGAAATATTGACGATGTTACTATTGTCCCGTGTTACTTTTGTCCCCGGTCTCCCCTCCTCTGTAAAAATATATGTATAGTTACGGCAACAATATTCATTGATATTGAACAGCATATCACTATATTAAATAATTACTTAAACCTCATAAAAATAAAATAAACTAATTATATTTTTTTTAGTTCAAACACACACACACAAACACTTTTTTTTATATAAAACACACATTACATCATAGTAACTAATGAATTATTATTGAGGTAACTTAAAAAAAATAGTTTTCAAAATCTTTTCATTAAAGTCGTTTAACCAATGAACAATATTATATATATGTGATCACCAGAGGGACGCAGCGGAATTCAATAAAATTACTTCTAAGAAGAAAACCACTCAGCATACAATAAAAGGCGCAGCATTGAATTCGAACTTGGAAAACAAAAGTAAATGAGAGATCTCGACAGTATATAGTTTTTAATTCTGTACTAAAATTCAGAAACCTTAAAATTCCTAAAAGTTATTTATACGTATAAAAATGTGTAATTATATATCATAAAGTTAAGTAAATAAATTAAATAAACTATATTAACTTATTTATTGTTTTTGTTAGAACTTTGTAATACGTATTAGTTAGTTGAGGCACACAAAGAGAAGCGCAATTGTTATTTGCTATGCGTTATTTATCTTCAAATTTCTAGTTGCTGAGACAACCTTTTTTTCTCAGAGTGGTACTCTTTCTATATATTGAGTCATAATGAAGTAATTTTGAAAATGATACTTTCTCCCTATTATCGTGTTCGTATCATATATCATTCTAAGGTTCTTTGCATCTTGTGTGTAGAATTTTGTTTCTATAACTCGTACGAGGGACTGTCTCTTATATAGATTTGAAAGCTCCGCAACTTAGGAATTTATCTTAAAGATGATTTTATAATTGCGAGCAACGATCATTATTCATAGATACGCGCATTAACGATATATAACTTGACATATTTAAAACTGTTATTCGTTATTCGTAGCATTTCGCACGAATTGGCTCCCGTCCTTTAACGCGTCAACCGTCGTATTTGAGAAAAATTCTGGGTATCGAGAAAATGTGCTACAAAACTTAAACCATAAAACTTTCTGTATGTATCTTCTTATTCTTACCCTTATATTTCCTTATCAAGTTTGTCAATAGACACGATTATATATATATATATAATTTTCCCCTCTACCCAATGTCCAAGTTATTTAATCGTACGGCTAAATAATCATTATCCGAGGTAGACACAATTACGAGTAATTACATAATAATAATTATTCGCTATCGTTTATTCGCAAGTTTAATTCATTTGGCTAATCTCTTATCATATATCTTTTAAGCTACATGATAAAAAAATTTAAAGAATGAGATATATTTGTAATGTTATAACGAAAATGTATAAGATGGAACATTTATTGGAATATTTTTATTATCAGCATGTGAAATTGAAAGACTACCACGCGTATTCTTCTTTCTCAAGCGAGCTCCTCTCTGCGTCGCGTAGACGTAGGCCAGTATAGTCAGATCTTATATTCAAGACCGTCTCAAGTATTTAAGAAGTAACAAACCAATCAGAGGCCGGTATTCATAGTCAGATCTTATATTTAAGACCGTCTTAAGTACAGTCTTAAGATGTCATGAACCAATCAGAGGGCCGCATTAGCGACTTAAGACATTACTTAAGACGGTCTTAAAATAAGAATCGACTATGAATCCCGGCCTCTAGAGGGCTGCATTAGCGTCTTAAGACATTACTTAAGACGGTCTTGAAATAAGAATCGACTATGAATACCGGCCGTAGAGGCACTAGATTCGAGGAGGTATAGGTACTATAGAGGGAGAACCGAGAAATGTGCCGTGTGCGCATACTCTCTCGTGCTCGCAGATTGATCCCGCCGTTCATGACGCCGTTTCTGTCTCTCCACGCACGCACGCACGCACAAGCACGCACGTACGCACGCACGCCCGCACGCGGTAATATCGGTTCCGCGAGGAGTGCCTACTTTGAGTGCACTACTGATAGAGCACATATAGGTCCTAATATGTACTAACGTGTATTGTGTGCTGCAGGCACACCGTACATACCGCAATTCACCCGTGTCATCGTGACGACGTCTTGTGTGACACCTGCCTATCCGGGGCATTCTGCAAAGTCTTATTAATTCGCCTCTCTCGTCGATGCTCAAATCGATAATCGAATAGTACACAGTGCGGTTCGCGCCAACCAATGCAACAATCGAGCGCGCTCAGTGCGCATTCGAAATAAGAGCGGAACTGACGACAACGCGGGAATTATCTCTTCGAATCACTACTTTTACGCGCAGACAGATAGATAAAAATTTTAACAGTTGAATTCCAATGATTTTGCGTGATCGACGCGATTCGTGTGACGTGTGTTCTTGTCTCGTCTTTCGGCAATCGAATCTCGCTTCAATAGTTAGTTCATCTTTTTAGCTTTTTTTTCTCAATTCATTTCAAGCTTTCGAGATATCATCGCGCTCTCGATCTTGTTATTAGTTCGAAGAACTTATACTTTTGAACGGCTTTAGAAATTAGAAAAATATAATCAATGTTGATCGATTTATACAGCTAGAGATGTTTAATCAAATTGTGTTTAACAAAATTAATAATTATATCTACAATCTGTACATTGAAGAACTGATTAGTCGCGAACCAAGAGATAACTAAAAACAGCTCTCTTTTAAAAGTTAAAATCAATTAAACATTCGCAATATCGATTCGCGGTTGTTGTTGATTAAATGCAGAAGCATCATCTCAATCTAATTAACCGTAATAGCTAATCGGCAAGGCGGGGCAATTATAACAACGGGACAGTATTTCATAATCAAGTTGCACGCGAAGCAGGGAGTCCTTAAGGGGGTCTCTTATTAGCTAACAGCTGCGAGAGAAGATCAAGTGGATTGCGCGGCGGACAGGAACGGATCTCCTGATCGGAACGTGGATCTTCAACCGTTTCATTTTATTTTTCAATCGAGTAAATAGTCTGTAGTCTATATAATTAATATAGAGTATAATCCCAAGCAGATATCAATTTCTACATAACAATAGACAATATTTGGGTCAAACTCTCTTGTGCGCGATATTTTTTTCCTGTAATGGTATTGACCCTTTTCGCGTGGCAAAAAGAATCCGTTGAAAGATAAGAATTACAATAATGAATAGGAATGTTATTATCGAACTGAATACTATTGTATTTAAAATCTTATTCAGAAGGATATTGTACGAGTTATGGATTTTCCCATTTTTTTCGTTTACTTTAATCGCGAAATTTATAACGATAGATTATTTAAATAAATTTGAATTTGATTTTTTTTTTAAAGATTCTTCATTTCCCTCTTTTATTTACAAGCCTTAAAAATTCCCAAAATTTCAAATAGATGTAACAGATGCGATTAAAAATCCAGCCCTGATTGCAGGTGCAGGGAAGAGAGGGTGGCAACGGGGGATGGAAAGAGATCATCTATACAGAGCCCAAATAGATTGAGGAAAGAAAATGGAACGATGGAAGAGGAAAGCAGAAATAAGTGGGGAGAAAGACGAGATTGAAAAGTTGCGGAAAGCGGCGGGAGAGTCTATCGAATACGTCTGATTATTCCGTACACGGCACTGTGCCGCGCGAAACATATACGCAAAATTCCGCAAATTGCAAAAGGTGTTATCGAAACATATCACCGATCATCGGTGATCTTTGGTCCTTTTGGTGTCGTTGCATCTTCCAAAAATTCCGTTGTAATCCCGCAGCTGCAAAGGACATTTGAAAGGTTTGTAGAACCTTTGTTTGTTGATCTGCAGTTTAGGCAAGTAATTCACCGTACACCGTTCAAAATATATCTATATTAATCTGTTATCGTAACAAAACGGTTTATACATATACGCTGGATAATAATTAGATAGTTATAATAATAGTGTGATGGGATAAGGAGAAAACTGCGAACGGATATGTTACACATGCGCGCACACGCGAAGAAATGTTGCTGCTGTCGCCTATTATTACAATATATACCACATGCGAGACGACAAACCTTGGCTATCATAACTAATTATTTGTTATCACGATATCGAATCTATTACCGATAGAGAGACATTGCTGACGAGAGTATTCGTAAAAACATGAATGTCCTGTTAAAGCAAAGTTGTCTATAATTTGTAGCGTTTTGTTGCTGTAAAAAAATCATTACTGCTTCCATAAGAGGTCAAATATGAAAATTTACTCATAGAAAAATAATTCGATAGAGAGAGAGAGAGAGAGAGAGAGAGAGAGAGGGAGAGAGAGAGCGCGTATGCAGATTTAACAAAACTATTTTTATTAAGCGTTTGCTATTTACTTATAATAAAGGATGAAATTTGCAATAAGATGAAATGCTTATAGTTTTTATTTTCGCATTATAATATATTGGTGCAGCAAAGATGCATTTTTGATCGAGATAACATCAAAAATAATCATGGCGATATACATATATTTAAAAATTTATATGATAAGGAGTATAAGATGCAATCGGATGCACGAGTGTATATTTCAGGATATTTTTCTAGTGACTTTACGCTCTTGCGAAAGTGCTTCGTATAAATAGCAGCGCAGATGCCTGATATATAAGTATGTGAGAACAGTTCCATACGATATCAATGGAATAAATTGATTGGGGATTTGCACAATCTCCCTAAAATACGCTTTAAATTATATGTACGTGTGTATAAAGACATATCATCGGAAATTGAATATATAATAAGTAAACGTTAAATTTAAGTTATTTGTAACTTCATTTTCATTGACAACACATTAAATATTTTTTATTATTTATTAATGTTTATCAGACGTTTATATATTTTAATACATTATATACGTCGAAATAAGATACAAAATATTTTTTTTTTCATTTTTCGATAGCTTTCTTTATTGATAGGATATTCGAGTACGATTGAAAGAATTTACATGTGTATATAGAAATGGAGAAGTAACGCCAAAGGTTGAAGTCGTACACTGTTAAAAATGTCGTGAAATTTAATATACTTTTAAGGTACATAAATTAAATTAAATTTTATGACTACATTAAATTTTATGTATCTGTAAGTGAAAAGTATATTTGTGTACATGTACATGAAATTTAGTGCACATTTCATAAAATTTTACGATGTTTAGTACATTTTTTATTAAATGTTATGTAGATTTGTATAAAATGTAATGTAAGTAAACGTTAAAGTTAAGTTATTTGTAACTTTATTTTTATTGACAACACATTAAATATTTTTAATGTACCTGCTTGAAATTTCCTTTCATTACACATGTAACTTCATTTTCATTGACCACACATTAAAAATATTTAATGTGTTGTCAATGAAAATGAAGTTACAAATAACTTAAATTTAACGTTTACTTATTGTACATTAAATTTTATACAAATCTACATAAAATTTAATAAAAAATGTACTAAACTTCGTAAAATTTTATGAAACATGCACTAAACTTCATGTACATGTACACAAATATACTTTTCACTTACAGATAAATAAAATTTAATGTAGTCATAAAATTTAATTTAATTTGTGTACCTTAAAAGTACATGACATTTCATGATATTTTTAACAGTGTAATCTTCAAGATAGATGTTAAAAAGGAGAACTGTTTGTTCTTTGTAAATTATTTTATCACATTTTATCGAGCGATTGAAATCTCTCTCTCTCTCTCTCTCTCTCTCTCTCTCTCTCTCTCTCTCTCTCTCTCTCTCTCCCTCCTTCTCTCCCTCCCTCTCTCCCTCTCGCTTCCTCTCAAATATGACAATAGTTATGATCAAACATTATAGTTATCGCGATTCTTACGAGTTCGTTATATTTACGATTTGTTTTTCATTGTTCTGAAAAGTAGTTAGAGTCCTTATAATTCTATATTATAATTATATATTGTTTAAATACTTTGTGAAGAATGTTTTCGGTACGCGAGTTGTCAAAGCCTAAACTTATTAATATTATTGAAACGTCTTAAATAAATCAGCGGCGCAGGGTCATCGATGAGCCGACATACGTGAGTGAAATTATGAACGATCTAATAATAATCGCGCTCTTATCTATATACTAAGTTGATTTGAATTCAAGAGATCGATCCTACACACGAGTCTCATCCTTTTAGTGAGCGAGGTCAATGATCATGGTGATCGAAAATTTATGAAATATCGCCCAAAAATTGATGTACAAAATGTACATGTACATATACCAAGGGTCATGAAAGTATCTCGATATTTATTTAGATGCAGATTTTATAAAGGGCTATATTTTTTACCACGCTACTTTTGGAAAGGGTACATCATTCTAATTGTACATGTACATATACCAAGGGTCATGAAAGTATCTCGATATTTATTTAGATGCAGATTTTATGAAGGGCTATATTTTTTACCACGTTACTTTTGGAAAGGGTACATCATTCTAAAAATGTACACTGTTAGAAATGTTCTTAAATTTCATTAACTTTTAAGTTACACAATTGAATTTAATTTGAATTTAATTTCATGACATTACATTAAATTTAATGTATTTGCAACTAAAAATATATTTATGTACATGTACATAAAATTTAATGTATTTTTCATGAAAATTTATGTAATTTAATGTACTTTTCATAAAATTTTATTAAAAGTACATTAAATTTCATAAATTTAATATACAGGTTCATTACATGTAAGTAACTACTGTAACTAAATTTTCAGTTAAATCATTCATTACTTTTAATTTCGTTCATAACTACGAGCTTCATTTACATGTAAAGGAAGCTCGTGGTTACATTTTTAACAGTGTATTTTAAAAAAATTGTTATGTTGGCAAAAACGCCAATGAGAATTTAACAGATATATTTTAAATACTTTGTGGATGAGGTTCTTGTGCGATAGATGGTATTAGTAAAAAATTGCGTGTTTCCAGTAGATTTGGCTGCAGGATTTGTCTAAAGAAACATGTACGGTCTAATCTTGGAAAATCTAGCCGAATATATAAGGCAGGTTTACGGCGAAGACAGATGGGAAGAGATCCGCAGACAGGCGTCTGTGGACCAGCCGAGCTTTAGTGTTCACCAGGTCTATTCGGAAAACTTGATACCAAGATTAGCGAAAAAAGCAATTCAGGTATGTCTACGATGCACCATTTGCTTCACCGTATCCCTCATACCCAAATTAATTATTCATTTGGAAAAACTGTATGTTTTTTATAACGGCCAAATATAAAATACATCTCAGGAGATATTTAATTTTCAATTTTCGGTATTTATCTTTCGTTGTCTCTAATAATCCAATCGTTAAACTTTCATATTATGTTTGATTACATGGTATAAAGTATCGGTATGAAAACTGAATGCTTAAATCTCGATACAGAATATATCATGCAAAGCATATCATGTATATAATATAAACGTATTTCATTTCATTTTGACAAAAGCGGATAAATGGTTTCATTCGGAGTAGACTGTGAAAAATTTAAGTATACTTACTCTTCAGGTACTTGGTGTAACGGAAAAGGAATTCTTCGATCAAATGGGTGTGCACTTTGTAGGATTTGTCGGACAGTACGGTTACGATCGCGTACTCTCGGTGCTTGGACGGCATGTGAGGGATTTTCTCAATGGTCTAGATAATCTCCACGAATACCTCAAGTTTTCCTATCCGAGAATGCGAGCACCTTCGTTCATCTGCGAAAACGAGACTCGTCAAGGTGAGTTACGGATAAAGCCCGGAAATTTTTCTCAGTGTACTCATCAATTTACATATATTATAATTCACAATAAATAAGATGATTTTTGAACATGGCCGGAGACACTACCGCGTCTCCTGATTTAAAATAAAAAAGGATTTAATTCTCTTTCAGCCTATACGTAATGTTTTAAAAAAAATTATTAAGTTTTGTACATATACATATATATATATTCTATATTTTCATTACGAATGCGTATATAGGGTTGACTCTTCACTATCGAAGCAAACGCCGGGGCTTTGTCTACTATACAATGGGTCAAATAAGGGAAGTCGCTCGGCACTTTTATCATAAGGAGCTGCAGATCGAGCTGGTACGCGAGGAAGTGCTTTTCGATACTGTCCATGTGACCTTTCAACTTACCTTCGACAATCGTGCCTTCACGCTAGCATCACTCGCGATGACCCGTGAGGAGAAACATCTGCCGATCGGGGCGTGCGTGCTTTTTGAGATATTTCCCTTCTGCATCGTTTTCGGGTGCGTGTTAAAATGACTGTGCAAAAATGTTATTAAACAATTAAGAGAGTTAAAGTTTTAATACTAAAAAAAGATTTTGGCGCACAATTCGCAGAATCAGATGTGTATAGAAATTCACACAGTGGCCAATCAGAACTCGCACTGGTAGTAATACTAAAAAAAGATTTTGGCGCACAATTCGCAGAATCAGATGTGTATAGAAATTCACACAGTCGCCAATCAGAACTCGCACTGGTAGTAAGTACACTGTTAGAAATGTTCTTAAATTTCATTAATTTTTAAGTTACACAATTGAATTTAATTTGAATTTAATTTCATGACATTACATTAAATTTAATGTATTTGTAACTAAAAAGTATATTTATGTACATGTACATAAAATTTAATGTATTTTTCATGAAAATTTATGAAATTTAATGTACTTTTCATAAAATTTTATTAAAAGTACATTAAATTTCATAAATTTAATATACAGGTTCATTACATTTAAGTAACTACTGTAACTAAATTTTCAGTTAAATCATTCATTACTTTTAATTTCGTTCATAACCACAAGCTTCATTTACATGTAAAGGAAGCTCGTGGTTACATTTTTAACAGTGTAATACAAAAAGCCGAAATTGTCGACTACCGGCGCGAGTTCTGATTGGCTGCTGCTTTTCCGCTTTCAGCTTTTCCATCAAGGTCCAGGAACGCGCCCTTACATAAAATATCTGTTTTGACGGTTTAAAAATTAAATTTTTTAATTTATACAGTTTTTGTCCTGGTTCAATTTAATAATTGAATGATACAGCGATATAAATGAGAATTAAGCCGTGTAAAATTTAAGAATTCCGTTTTATTATTTTTATTGTGAAAAACTCTGTGCGCGCGCGCATGCGAACTCATCTTTGTGAATAAGACATATACCATATTTATTTGATTAATAAATGTTTTAAATTTCAGATCAGATATGATTGTTAGAAGCATCGGCAATTCACTGATGGTCATATTGCCAGATCTGGTTGGCAAGAAAATTACTTACTTCTTCGATTTGGTTCGACCTCTTATTGCGTTTAAATTTCAATCGGTAAAGAGTAACCCTAAATTTAGCCTATTTTGGTGGCCCGCAAGATTCGAATTGTATATCAAACGATATTATATACATATTACATATATATGCTGGGACAATCCCAGAAAAAATTTAAGTTGAATATAGATATAATTTTGGAGGTGGGATAGTCAAAATAGTTAAGTTTCTAATATTGTCCAAATACAATAGACACAAAAAAAAATTAAAACTTCTTTGATAACAGTGGAAGTTTGACTAAAATCAATCAGAATGATTCTCTGACTATACCGTACTAAAAATCCGACTCCATCACCTTTGTGTGTGTGTGTGTGTGTGTGTGTGGGCGCGCGCGTGTGTGTGTGCTGCTTGATTTTTTAAAAAGATAAAATTTCTCCCAAAAATGTTTTTACTAAATTTCTCAAAAACGGATGTAAATATAAAAATACGTTCGAAGAAAAAATTCAGCAAAAACTTTTTTTAAGGATATTTTTATTCCCTTAAAAATTTAAGCAACAGGGATTGGATTTTTAGTATACAGTAGTACAGAGAATCATTCTGATTAATTTTAATCAAAATCAAACTGTTATTAAACAAGTTTTAACTTTCTTTTTGCGTCTTCTAGCTAATATGTTTGGACAATATTAGGAATTTGGCTACTTCCTCCATATCTCCAAGACTAAAATTTGTGTCTGACAATAAGATTAACGTTTCATCATATACATCATTTGGCATGCAATTCGATTCAAAATTCGACATCCACAATATGAACTAAAAAAACTTATGTTTTTTGTCACTTTGTAATATAAACATAAGAGAAAATTTAGCAAAAAAGAGACAAGAAAATTCACATATTTAAAATAAGTAACAATTATGGTCTAAATCTGTGTTTTTGAGTACTTGATTTGTGTATATTTAAATTTTTTGAACAAATTCTCAAAATTTCCCAAATTTAGGCTGCTAGTATGACTTCAAATCGTTTCCGACTGACTGATTTTGTATGGTTTAGATATTAAACAGAACAAATAACATTTTTGAGCTGGTTACTGTTGAGCCAGTGCTTACGGAACGATTGAATGATCGGCACAGAAACGAAATTCTCTTAAGTGACGAGCTTGAGACAGTAGAAGATAAAACTTTACGATTAAAGGGTACGTTTATATTTACTCGTTAATTTTAAAAGACTTATTATTGATGAGATTACAATAAAAATGTTAGCTATTATGTGAGATATTAACTCATCGATCTTTATTCATCGAAATTAATAATAAGAAATTTTTTCTGTTTTTATTATATAAATTATATGTAGTAATAAAACAGATTTTTACGTCAAAAAAGAAAACACGAGATTATTCGTGGAGACGTAAAAGATTTAAGAGAATACGTCATCCCGGCAAAATCGCATTTTTTCAGGTCAAATGATATATATGGACAATTGGAAAATGATGATGTATCTTGGGACACCTGTCATGCCCGATTTGAACGCTTTAATAGCAACAGGCCTTTATATAAATGATCTCTCGATGCACGATTTTAGCCGGTAAAGAAACCATTGAACCGATGTAGTTTCAAGAAGAAAAAAAATTTTTTATCCATTGTCACGTGATCCGAGTTATCTCATTGTTAGAGAAAACAGTCGTGTAATGTTTGTATTGAAAATTAAAGTTGGAAAAATTATATAATAGTTTTCATCTTTGTGGTGATTGACTATACAGAGTTAAGTTATGTGTCAAACAATCGATAACTATTTTATAGATACTTAATGACTTCATAGGGACCTCATGCTTGCTGGAACCCAACAGTCTGTGGAATTAAAACTGGCCTTAGATCAAGAACAACTCAAGAGTAAAAAATTAGAGGAATCTATGAGGAAACTGGATGAAGAAATGAAGCGTACGGATGAATTATTATATCAAATGATTCCCAAACAGGTCGCAGATCGTTTGAGAAATGGTGAAAGTCCGATTGATACTTGCGAGGTATGGTTAAAAAGAATAAAATAAAAAATTTTTATTTCTTGCTGTTGGCAAGAATGGAATATTTTTTTAACGACTGCGTTCTAAAAAAAATCCTAATTCTTATCGCACAGAAGTGGCGTATTTTCTAAAATGAAAATCATCATAATAATCAATTCTGTTTGTTTGAATAGAAAACGAAATAATAAGTAGGGTAAGATGACGAATTATTAATTTTTCTATGTTGTAATAACAAATGATGAACTGAAATGTTACTGAATTCATTAAACACTTTAAATTTTAAATAATAAGTCATCTCTTGTTTAATTTCAATCAATATGTCTACAAAAGTAGATACATTGTATAATGAGAAGTATATATGTTTTAAATGTACTCATATTGTATGTAATATTTTTGGTATTAGTTTATAAGGAATGATATAATTACAGTAAATACTTTTACTTTCTTTATAAAATAATAGTACAACTTTTTATCAATAAAATTGTCTCAAAATATTTTCTGCTTGCAGATGTTCGATAGTGTATCGATCCTGTTTTCGGATGTAGTGACCTTTACTGAGATCTGCAGTAGAATTTCACCGATGGAAGTCGTGTCAATGTTAAACGCCATGTATTCGTTGTTTGATACTTTAACCGAAAGAAATCGAGTTTACAAGGTATTTTTTATTCATTTCATAGAAGATTATCTCGATTGTTATCTCTCGGGAAGTCTCGTTCAACCTTATAATACGAATCTAATTATCATAGCCTATTATTGCGTTATTCATAAATTTAGCAATAAATGATAAATCACAAATTAACGAAAAAAACTAATAAGTTTTTCAGACTCCTTTAATTAGAACAATTAATAAAATCATGAAATATGTAATACAGGCAATAGGAGTCGACGCTGGTTATCAATTAGCGCAATTTTTCTTAATACTAAAAATGTCAACCTTAACTTTGAACGTTTCATTCAGTGATCACAGAACATAGTTTGCAAAACGATCATGACTTTGATTGGCAAATCGTAGAGATATTGGATGTAGAAAATTATTATAATAAAAGGTTAATATCAGAGATGATGCATATTAATCGACAAACCAATGGGCTGAATCTACAAAATGATACCATTGGTTTAAATCATGCGTACATTGAAATTCTCAATAAACTTTAAGGCCTGTTCGTAATATAATATATGTCATAAACTTGTTTGTCTTCAAATTGACCGCTATGTTTCTTGTTTAGCAATCATTATTTAACCGACTGTCGAAATGACAAGACATATTGTTCTCGCAGTTATTTTTTTTTAAATTTGACGATTATAATTTATAACATATTAACGAGTTACAAAATGTTACATAAGAGAGATTCATTATTCAGTGTAGAAGCGTCGACTGTGTGAGGTGATTAATTTTCAAATTATACATACGATAATTTAATCTTTCATATAATTTTAGCTTGAGTTCTCATTGCCACTCAGCTTTCTAACTTTGTGAGTATGTGACTTACCTTACAACAGTAAACGGTTCAATTTTTGAGATGAAAAACGTTGGAGATATCATTTTGTCATGCAATACTCCAATCGTTGCGCTAGGGTGAAAGATTGCTGATGAAGACTCAAATCATGAGTGGAAACGTTCAAAGTTAAGGTTTACATTTTTAGTATTAAGAAATATTGCGCTAATTGATAACCAGCATCGACTCCTATTGCCTGTATTACATACTTCATGATTTTATTAGCAATAAATATCATTCATTTTATTTGATTTCAATTAATTTGATTTAATTTTCATCAAGTTTAATAAAAAAAAATTGCTAAAATAATTGAATCTTTATTTTAATATATTTTCATGTTTGAAAAAATATTGTTATATCAAATGATTATGGAGTCCTTTTTTATTCAAGGTCGAAACTATCGGTGATGCTTACATGGTAGTCTCAGGTGCGCCAGTAAAAGAAAACGATCATGCAGATCGTGTATGCGATATGGCGCTTGACATGGTAGAAGCAATAACCGACCTCAAAGACCGTTCAACAGGTATATTTTTCAATTTTTCTTAAGGCGTGTTAAGACTAGAGATTGAGATTGGATTGGAATTTAACTAATCACAAGAAAGAAAATCAAACTGATCAAGGTCTGTTTCCACCAACGCAGATTATCTTTAATCTCGGTTCAACTTACTCTTTGTCTTTTTCTAGTTCTAAAGATTAGAAAAAGATGAAGAGTAAGTTGAACCGAGATTAAAGTTAATCTATATTGGTGGAAATGGCACAAGTCTAATAAATTTTGCTTCGATTGGTTAAATTCCAATCCAATCTCAATCTTAATCTCCAGTCTGATCACGCCTTTAGAGCATATTTTTATTTTGTGACTTTCTTTGAATTTCTAATAATTTTGCAACTGACTCTCGATACGAATCCATGAGTCCATACAGTCTTTTAAGGTCTTAGGACATAAAATCATTGTGTGTGTGTGTGTTTATAGTTAATTTCACGCACGCACGCACGCACGTACGCGTAGAAATATAGTGAAATATTTAAAAAACTTTCTTAGAGAGAGAGAGAGAGAGAGAGAGAGAGAGAGAGAGAGAGAGAGAGAGATACCCTTTGAAATTCTAATTTTACAGTTTCTATATCTAGAAAGTAATAAGAAAAATTGTATTATATGATCTTTTTTTTATTCATATCTTTATCAACTTGTTTTAAGATACTATATTATACCTAAATGTGTGTGTAATGCATTTCACTCGCAGTGACGCAGCATAGATTTAACATTACACTATAAAAGCAAATTTATAATTATCTTCACAGGCAACCATCTTCAGATACGCGTTGGCATTCATAGTGGCGCGGTTGTAGCCGGTATCGTTGGCTTAAAGATGCCACGATATTGCCTCTTCGGCGACTCCGTCAATACAGCAGCTCGCATGGAAGCGACAAGTCAAGCCATGCAAATACATATATCTCAATCCACCCAAGAATTGTTATCACCCTCATACAAGGTGAAAGAACGTGAAGAAATCGAGGTCAAAGGAAAGGGTAAGACCATCTTGAATTTTTTATCTTATACACACTATTTTTACGGGAATATTTCTGCGATATTCTTTGTTTGTTAATATTTAATATAGAGAAATAGGCTCGTGTAAACGCTACGCAATTAATTACAATGTCAAAACTTTTTTTATTATAAACGAGCAATAATAGTTAATTGATAAAACTCAAATTTTAATTACATACGTATAACGCTAAAAAACCTTATTCAGTAACGTATGTAATTAAAATTTGAATTTTATTAATTAACTATTATTGCTCGTTTATAATAAAAGCCTTGACATTGTAATTAATTGTGTTAATATTTAATTTTAAGAATTTATTGAGCCATGTCAGAGCCGATAATCGTATTATATTGTATACACCGATATATATTATACTAGGCACAATGAAGACCTATTGGTTGGAAAAGCGAGAACGTCGTTCTGTCACAACTAAGGGTATCACTATACAGGAGCCTCATCAATGGCACACAAAGAGTTTCGAGAAAAGAGTTCCCTCGGTGGGAGCTATAGGTCTGATAAGCACAGGTATGTTCGACAAATCGACTTCGGGAGACGCGCTATCGAGACGTAGAGGCTCGTCGAAGATGTCATCCCCTACGCCGCCGGGATCCTCGGGATTCCTTTCTGAAGAGAGAAGAATATATTCTCCTATCACTTTCCAAGATGTCGCGCTACGATCGATCGCAAATTCACCGACGAAGAATGTGGAAGTACGAGGTGAAATTTTTACATTTCTTTTTTATAATATAGTGTATAGTATATATTACTATATATATAGTATATATTACTATATATAAAAGTATGCCAGTATGACTATAGCTTGGCAAATCGTTAAGTATCGAAAGCTAGAGTGGAAGTAGTTCCAATTTCTCTCGAAGCTTTCTCTAAAGAAGCAGAATATATAATAGAGAAATAAATTTTCTGTTCGTGTGGTTGCAGAATGTCGATCGAATTCTATGGGTGCGGTAGGCACAAGGAGCGCATCAGACATGTTCAGTTCTCTCCTGAACGATACGGAGGAGCACTTTCGACAGCACCGGGATAACTTGTCTCCGCGCGTCGGAGAAAATCAATCAATGAGCGTGCATGTAAAATCAGAAGTGAAGATTAATGCCACTTCATCCTTGTCTTCACAGAGTTCCGAAGAAGAATCGAATTTATCGTTGGATTTCACACTACAAACGCAAAAGGATAATGCAGATGCGAGAATTGGTAACGATAACGAGTGCGCGGCAATCAATAGCGATCTCAACAACTCTCAATTGTTGATGCAACAGGACCAGTGTTGTCCGGGATTTACTATCTCAAAGAGCAACAAAATGCGTCATCAAGGGAATAGCTGTATTATTGTCTAATGCAGAAGTTGAAGATTGTTGCAGATTTAGTAATTTTTTAGATTTCAATGGTAAAATATGTTCCCTTCTTTGATTCCTTCTCTCATTTTCGTATAACACAAAAAATAAACATATTTATATCATTATTTTATATCAATGCTCGGAATTAGTTGCTCATTTCGGGCAGATTCCTGAGGTGACCCCCACTACCACTCGGAACTCGCTAACGTGACGCTGTGCCCCAGGAGCGTCGCGATACGAAAAGTATACTAGGAGCATCTCAATATACTTCCGGCAAATATCATTAAAATATTTTCTTTCCTATGTGATTTTTATTTTAATAAATAATTAAAATAAATTTTTTATTATTAACATATTTTATTATTAACATAAAAATTTTACATCATAAATATTTTACAATGTAAAATATTTATTTTATGTAAAATTTTATTTTATCGAGTCACATATATTTAATCATCCTTTTTTATTTCTTAATGAAGAAAGTCTTTCTTAGCGAAGAAACTATTTGAAAAATGTATCAATAATAGTACTTTCAAGATAACATGGAAAGCCGTTGTCCATATTATAACTATCATATTGTAATTTTTGATTATATATTATTACAGAATATAATATGTTAATAATAAAAGATGTTAATAATAAAAGATTTATTTTAATTATTTATTAAAATAAAAATTACGTAGGAAAGAAAATATTTTAATGATATTTGCCGGA